AGGAAGGAAGGAAGGAAGGAAGGAAGGAAGGAAGGAAGGAAGGAAGGAACTTGATGAAGGTGGATGAGGATCACAGGGTTCAAGGCTGACGGGGGCTGAGTGAGCTCCAGTCGCGAGGCGCTTAGCTCTCTGGACTGAAGTGGCATTTGCCCGCTGCGGTGGGTGGCCAGGAGGGCGCCCCCGCTGGAGTCTGCCTGGGAAAGTTGGACAAAGTTGGATGGCCAAAGGCACTATGGAGAAGGAATGCGCAGGTCGGCGGCACAGGGACCAGCCTGGACACGTCTGGGAGAAGTGCCTTCCGGATCTTGACGCACACATCCTTTAAAATCTTCATCCAGGAGTGAGAAAGACAGTGGCGAAGAGGAAGCATAGCGTTTCATGTGAATGGAGAGGAGGGTGTTTCCGGAATAAATGAGGGAGGGCTCCGAAGTGAGACTGGATACAGGGTAGTTAAAATCTCGGACAAAGTTTCTATGAATCCTAAGGAAACGTTCCCATTCCACCTAGCAGAACAATGGCTCAGGAGTTGTGAAGAGAATTCAATTTCACAGGGCTCAACTTCAGATTTTGTGTGCTCATTCCTTGTACCTAGTGGAACTGCTCAAAAATTCTGCGGAAATCGCCAGAAGAAAGAAAAGATGCCTCCTGGCGAACTGTCTCCCAGAGAGGCTTTTCTTCAGAATTTGGCACAGAAACAATATTTCTAACCCACTGCTTCCCTCCTGAGTTCTTAGTGATAGGTGGGTAAAATAAAGCAGAAGATCCTTGCATTTTTAATGTATTCAATGTGTGATACCTGTTCCAGCCACTCAGGAACTAAAGGGAGCCGAGGTTTTGTTTTACAGTGAACTGGTTCTTTCTGAAATATTCCTTTAGGACACATATTTATAATTTGACAGTTTTAGTGCCCAGGAAATTCCTTTCATGATATCTTTGAAATTCTAGTAGAGACTCATGAATGACCTCAGAGTTTGGGTCAAGAACATGAAATGTTTAGGTTCTACCCCTGTACATTATCATGGAGAAGGAGGAACAGAAATCACACACACACACACACACACACACTGATTTTTTAATCCAGCTGTTAAGCCATCCATACTCAAAGATTATGAGAAAGTGGTGCCTTCACTCACAAGGAATACTCATAATCATTCCTGGAGACAATAGGAAAAATGGATTCTGGCAAATAAATAATCATGCAAATGGAAAGGCACTGCAGAAAGTCTTAAAGGGCCATTGATCTTCCTTCTGTCTCAAGCAGCTGAACGTTGGTGCTCATAAATAAGTGTCTTCCAAAAATTAGACTCTTCATCTAGAGATAAAGTAATGATCATAATGATCCATCCTTCCATCCAATATTTTCTACAGGTTCCATCTCTTAACTGCTCATTATGAAAAGTGACTTCTGGCTGTCAGGTTTGCAAAGGTAAAAATACTCTTAATCCCTGACTTCCCTGAAACGGCTTACATGTGGGAAGTAAGAACAAGTACCCAAATGATGTCATGATCCAGATTATGAAGAATGATGGTAAAATAAAGACAATACTTTGTCTTTGTCTCCAAATTATTCAGGGTTACCCCAGTGTTCTTTTTCATGATTTATCTGCTTATTTGACAAATAGCATATAGAAACCAGCATGCACTGAGTCCTTGGCACCAATTTACGTGCTTCCTGTGTATTGATTCAACTAATCCTGATGAGGGTGGTGTGTATTATCTCCAGGATAAACTGGGTCCATGGGAAGTTCGAGTCCTTTGACTACCAAAGAGAGGAGCATGAATACAAAGCCACTTGATCCAAGCACTCAGTCAGTACCAACCATGTAGATTGATTTAAGAGACCAGAGGATTCCTTGTAACTCTTACAACATAGTACCTTTCCCAAGAGGCCCAGATTAGGGTTGCTTCTTTGGATATTTTAAGACAGCTGAAAATATATTTGCCTTAAGTCCATTTAAAGAAACAAAGATAACATCACACTAATAACCTTGTAAATTGTGTCTTATTTTTGTCATATAAATTGTTCTAAATCTTTACTACAACTCCTCCTCCCTTACTCCCTTGTTTCTTTCCTTCCTCCAGTGTTTTCTACAGATTTCATCTCTTAATTGCTAACTATGGAAAGTGCCATTCTGGCTGCCAGGTTTGCATGGGTGAATGATCTTCTTCCCTGCCTTTCCTGAAATGGCTTGCAGGTGGAAAGTGAGAGCAGGTACACAAATGACATAGAGAACTCATACCTCTGAAAGAAGTTGGTACCACGGCTATCATATTTGTGTGAGGATCAGCAAGATTCTTGAAAAAGATGAGAGTAGAGAATGGAAGCAATGGATAGGGCCTGGAGAAGCACTGGGAAAATGAAGAGTAGTGTAAGTAGAAGATGCCCATCATGTGTATGTCATAGACTATCAGAAAAGTCACTTTGTGATTCTCTGAGCCTGTTTTTCCCTTCATGTGCAGTGAGCATGGTGGTATGCCTTGTCCAGAAAACTAAGCCTTGGCATGGGTTCTGCATTCCCAATCATAGTGGAGCTTGACCTTAGCTTTGTTCATGTCCCATGTTCCAACATGTGGAGATCATTCCTGAGCACACTATCTGAAGTAATTCCTTAGTTGAAGTAATCTATCTGACATAAACTGTCTGAAGTAATACCTCAGTGGCCTCATTTTATTTTTCTTCTAAATACTTGTTTGCCTACTATAGGATTTCCTGCATCCTCCATTCAAATATAATGCTATTTCCTTAGTGCTTATTATAATAATTTCAATATTTACTGAAAGAAGAATGACAGTTCATAAAATGCTGGGTATTGCTATTGTCTGAAAATAGGTACTCTCAATGACACTGAATTTTAAATGTCACTTTGACAGTGTAAAGAGGTGGGATCTTTAAGAGGTGATTCAGTCATAAGGGCTCTACCTTTATAATGGATTAACAGCATGGATGGGTTGTGAATCCTATAATGAAAGAATTCCTTTCCTCCTTTCTCCCCCTTTCCCTGTGCCCATTTGACAAGTGGTTTTCATCCTGTTATGGCCTAATAAGGAGGCCCTCACTAGATGTGGCCATATAATCATGTACTTTGCAGCCTACAGAAACATGACCCAAATAAAGTTTTTATTCCTCATAATTTTTTAAGTTAGTGGCATTCTGTTACAGCAGCATACTTTATACTTAGTGCCACTAGAGTCTATGGAGTTTTTTAGTTGTCCTTTATGATCACTTAATTTGTCTTCTTTTTTAACTTTTTTTTTGGGGGGGAGAAATTCCTTTTAAGAAACTCCAGTCCTACATCAGTTAAAGTTTTGGGTGGACAAAGTTGTTCAAACTAAAAGATAACTGGAGAGGAAATGGCACAATTGAGAGGCTATTTCTGTTTCTGTGTTTCTAAACTTTCGATCATTCGTAGGACTTTCAAATTTAGGTTGAGTATTCCTTACCCAAAGTGCTAGGGGCAAAGTGGTTTGATTTCTTTTTTTTTTTTTGAGGGACATTTTCTTTATTAGAAATCATTGTTGGGATTTTTTTTTGCTTTTTTAGCCAAAGTATTTTGCATTTTTCAATATTTACAAATAATAATCAGATACCTAGGTGATGAGACCCAAGTTTAGGTTTGAAATTCATTTAGGCTTCACACACAACTTATGACACAGAAAGCAATTTTTTACTGTTATTTAGTGAGCCTATGTTTTGACAGCAACATGTAGCCCAATTGTGGAATTTTATGCTTGTTGTCTCAAGTTGGATCTTTAAAAGCTTTTGGAGCATTTTGCATTTCTAGTTGTCAGATTAGAGCAACTCAACCTCGACTAGGATTGGGATGGCAGCTTCAAGTTCTTCCTTAGATTAAAAGTCCTTAAGATTTCTCAATTTTTTGTTTTGTTTGTTCATTTATATTTTCTGGTTTTGTGTTTTGTTTGAGTGAAAATAATCTTAAATTTTCTAGCTCCATTGTGAAATGTTTCTAAATTTGTCCCAGATGTATGCTTATTTTCTGCTGATTACTATCTGCCTCCTCCTAAGAACTTTGTTGAAGCAAACCAAGTATAACCCTCTATACTCTTCCTACAGTTGGCTTCATTTGCACCTAAAGGTGGAGCAAGTATATCTGCACTGGAGCAAAAAAGTATGGACATATATGTATGAAAATTTGGTACCTGCTAGGACCACCCTTTTAGATAGAGTTTGTTCATATGTTATGCCTCACAATTTATAGCTTAGAAAGTCTAGGAATACAGGGAAAGAGAGGAGATGAGGAAGTTATAATTCTATCTCACGCATCCTAAAAAAGATACTTCTTGCTATTATAAGCAACTTATGTATTAGCATTTAAAATCTCTCTCAGAAGACTATTTCATGG